ATTCGGGGCTAAACCCTTCCCTTTCGCAACATTGGAACGAGTAGTCTTTGTTGTTTTTTTCTTGGCGGCTCCTTGCGAGGCTGTGGACGCTGCTCGAGGAGGCATAAGGGTGTGAGCCTTGTGATCAACAGCAAAAGTGAATGAGGAGGTTGGTACGGTTGAGGGCGTTTTGTTACTGTTGGATGGTTGTAAAACTGGGCGATTATGTTTGAGTGGACTGTGTAACTTGAGGCGCGACCGTTGGGATCGAGTGCGAGTTACTGGTGTACGGGACGGTGTTTGCGGGAGTACAATCGGTTTACCCTGACCAGACATTGCCAAGGATGGCAGCAGAGCTCACGTTGAAACAACGCGTCTCAAATACTTGAAAGACGCGTTACGCAGTCGAGAGAAGGTCAGACGAAGCGAACACCACATATGACCGAAGATAAACAGAACTTGATACATCGAACTAACATATGTACAAGCGAATGGCCTAGTGGCTTATGTAATGAATATAACCCTTAATGACCATGATGTGGCTTAAAGCTTGGCTTTTAGAGCTGCCCTTCTCAAAGACTCGTCTAGTTTGGTTAGTATTGACAAGACTTGCAAACTAGTTGATCAACTTACAGTTAGCCATGTATAGTTCGTCGTAAGGTGGGGCGCTATGGGAACACAAAGACCTGGCGTCAACCATCTCGGGGACTACATCTGCGATGGTGGTAGCTCCAAGCAAGCGCATATTCATCTCTAGCTCCTCCTGTGAAGGATGTTAAGATTTTCGGGATCAATTGAGAATCATGGCATCTTACATGAAGGATTTCGAGAGCCCTATCAACTCCTGCTTCTCCATATGATGACATGGCATATAGGAAAGGACGACCTACTCCAACTAAGGAATTGTGAGATCACGTCCAATAATTATCAATGTAACGTACCAGCTGTAGCACCTAGCGCAACTGCCTTCAATACGTCTGTGGCCCTTCTCACACCTCCATCTACAAATATTTGGAAGTTTGGGTTAGGCCACAACCCCTTTTCTTTAAACTTATCCACAACTTCGGCGAGAACTTCAATACCCGAACGGGCGTATTCGAGTTGCCGGCCACCATGGTTTGAGAGTACAACACCCTGACATCCTGCTTCCAACGCCCAGGTGCAAATAGGGGACAACAATGTTGACCGCTCTCAAGGTGCTGCAAGAGCAATCAGTGTCAGTGTGATGCCATACACATCGATGAAGTCGTATTGATCCATTGTATTTCAGTCATTTATAGATCCGTCGCTCTCTTGGAAAGACATCCCGTGGTTCAAGAGCATTACTCAAAGTAGGTTCTATCAGAAATAGGGGTGA